GCACACACTCAACAGCACATAGGTCTGTACACACACACGCACACACACACACACACACACACAGGCCTGCACACACACCCGGGTCTGTACACATCTGTCTGTGCACACATGCATACTTATTATCTAAACACATTGTCACATGCAAAACTGATAAGATTGATAGGTGCGGGAACACACATGCACCACACATGCATGCATGCACACATGCACGCACATACACACAGATACTCATTGTTTCTTTGCCCCTTTCCTATCCTCTTCTCCCTTGTCCTGAGCCATGCCTCTGTGTCCTGGCTGTTCTGTTTAGGAGGCTGCCGCACACACCGCACACACCGCTCATTCTCTTTCTCAAGATTAACGTCTGAGACGAATCATCTGCCGTCTCCATGCCAGTCCCAGTGAAACAAAAGATGAATGATTCTGCACAGTGGAAGGGTGGGAAAATTAATTAGGAACGACAAGGGACCCTTTCGTGGTTCCACTCATCTCGCCGCTGACTTGCTGGCAAGGTGTGCAAGTGACAAGGTTGCAGATACGGGACAGCCGGTGTGGGTCTGCCCACCCACTTCCCTCAGCCCCTGGCCTCAGCACACCAGCGCCCAGGGCTACAGGGGAACAACCAAACCAACTTTGTCTTCCATGGTGGGTGCGGTCTAGACTCAGTGCCGGCCGTGGTCCTCTCCCCAGTCTCTCTGAGCCTCGCTTTCCTCTGTGAAGGAAGGGGATACAGCCCAGCTGGGCTGCTAGGGGCTGCGGAGGGACTGGGGCCAGTGACAGGCGGTAGTCTCATCTGAGACACTGGCTCCTTGGAAGGGACCCAGGAAAGCCGGGCTTCTCAGGACCGGGGTGCCAGATGCGAACGGCCGACAGGTATGGGGCTGGTCTGGCAGGCAGGGTCTGGGCAAAGCTCTTCTGAAAGCTCACAGACCGCCGCACCAGCTCCATGCAGGGAGGTGGCACTGTGTCACTGCCCTCTTCGCCGCCGCAGCCTTTCCTGGCACTGTGGAGACGGCACGGCCTGAGGAGCAGGGCGTGAAAGCCAAGGACCAGAAGCAGGCCTTCCTGCAAAGGCTGCCACGGTGGCTGAGGATGGCTACCCGGAGTCCAACCCTTAGCACCCCAGAGCGCACCGTGGAGTCGGGGAAGGTCCTTGCCAGTAGGGTGAGCTTTTCGACCTTCAGGTTTTGGGGCGTGGGCAGTGAGCACTTGGGTCTGGGCTCTACTCTGAGGCCTTCCCTGTGAAATGAGCACACACTGTCACTTCGCAGAGCCTGGGAGGGTGAGAGAGCAGGGGGCTCAGGCATCCCGGCTAGAGTTTCGATGTCAGCTTGGAGCTTGATTGGCAGTGTGGGGGCTCCCACCAGCAGGTGCTGAGTGGACAGTTCATATGTAACTTCTTACCTGTGGCCAGGCGGAGAGCCTCATGGTTTACTCCTTGAGCAAACCGTCCCTAAAGCCCACCTGGATTGAAGCATAAAGAATTTGGATGTATCTGATCTGTGCATCACCTGGAGGAGCTGACAGCAGGCCATCAGGGTGGGAGGGGGCACCTGTGCCTACAGGAGGGTGATGATAAGGGGAATCTTCTGGAAGAGATGACCTCTGAGCTGGCCTTTAAACTCACTGAGAGGAATGAGACAGGAGAAAGGACTCCACATGTGGGAACGACTGGTGATGGGGAGTCACAGCTGCTCAAGGAACAGAAAGGGACAGTAAGACGGTTGGAGGAACCTCATGAGACTCTGGATGGGATTGTCTGAACCAGCTGGGGAGGTCCTTAGGACCCTGGGTGCCAAGCTATGAGGTCCAGGTTGTCCTGGCAGTGGCAGAGACTCATGGGAGGCCAGAGGAGTCACAGGGACCCTGTGAGGAATGCAGGCTCTTGTACCCTACCCAGTCAGACTGAGGATGACTCCCAAGAGCCTGCTGCTCAGTGGGGCAGGCAGGAAGCTGCTATCGATGTGCCTGACCACCCCAGCTTTGCATCAACTACAAGCTTGGATATAGGGTACAGGGTCCTGGCCCAAGACCCTCTGGCTTGCTGTGTGTCTTCAGATACACTATTTGCTTTCTCCATGCTAACATTTCCTTGTGTCTAAAATATGTCCCCAGGGTTAACTGAACATCTGTGACTGGCTGGTCCAGGGTGTGTCGAGGGGGGTGATTTTTCTCATTCTGGATTGGGAGAGGGAAACTGGCTCTGGACCAGCACTCTGGGTCTGAGCCCTGGCTGAGTCTCTTTCTTGAGTGTGGCTCTATACCTCAGTTTCTTCATCTGTTTAATGGCAAGGGTAGGTGTGAGGACTTGGGGCAGGGCGTTTGAGTCACCTCTCTGTGGACGTTCTACTTCAGTGTCCCTTGGGGTCTGTGCTCTACATCTGGCCTGGAAGCATCCTGGGATCAGGCCCACTCAGTGGTACCCTGAGCCTCTACTGCCCTAGACTCTGGGCCCAGGGGATGGTGGAGCCAGGGTTGGCTCAACTCCAGCTGAACCCCAGGTTAATTCACCCCGCGTACATGCCCTCCCTGGGGCTGGGTGCCTTTCCTGGGGAGGTGGAAACAGGCCTGCAGGCTGCATCTCCCACTTGCTGAGATGCCCGTCTCAGTCCACACCTGACTTCAGGGACCCTGACTTTACACTTCAGGGGGAACCCTGTAATGATTGGCCACAAGGAGGTCATCTCTTTTGGCTAAGTGGGTCTAATTAGGCTCAATCCAAAGGTTGCGTGAGCGCACAGAGAAGCTGTTAAGGGGTTAACCTCAGAGAGACTGTTGTATTCAGCGCTCTGGTAAAGTCTGAATTAATTTTTCCCATGGGTTTGCTCACATTCTAATCCTCAACTAAATGAGACATCTGTTTCAGAAAAGGAAAATTTGCTCTGGTTGTCATGGCAACTATCACTCTGTAAGAAAATTATTCCAATGGTTCCTTTAGAACAGAAACACAGAAATTCAGGACACAGAGCTGCCTTCAGCTCAGTTGGAATTCTGACGGGCCGCCCTTCTTGGCTCTGAGGTGCTCTGGTGAGGCAGACCACGGGCAGGTGGGTGGTGAGTGGAGGGGAGGCCAGGCCCAGGCACCAGGTGTGGCAGACGCTGGTCCCACAGCTCTTAGGCCCCCAGCAACATGACTTGAACATTCATGGGTGGTAGACCATAGCTGGGTGACAGTGAGGGACAGGGCAGTTGGGGTGACAGGCGCCCCACAGAGCCTGTGTCTCCTGTCTTCCCTGGGAAACATCAGGCAGCCAGACTGTGGATTTCTGTGATTAGTTTTCAGAGCTAGGCTTCACTGGATATGGAGGGGCAGTGTACCCCAAAACAGCACACTGGGAGGCCCCAGTGCAGACTATATAATGAAGTCAGCCCCTCCTTTGTCTCCTAGGCCTGCGGTGTCTGGTGGGTGATGCCGGAGCACTATTCAAGGCAGCTGGCTGTCCAGGTCCCAGCGGCCCCCAGATCTTAAGTAAACCCTAGGGGCACATTGGCGACTGCTGAGGCTTTGCCCACTCCCCAAAGGAACCCCTACTTGAGCTAGCTGAAAAATATCTTCCAGAAATTTCTCTGCAGGCACCAACCCCTCCCTGCTCCCCTACCCTAATGGTAGCTGGGGCACTGCTTCTCCCACTGCTGGGCAGCTGAGTATGTGGAAGCATTCCCTCTGAGGGTTCTGCCATGTCCTTGTGGGCCCCTTGTCCTCTGTGTTGCTCAGTGGGGTGCAGCTGTTCCCCCCAGGGATCAATTCTGAGAGAAGTGAAAGGGCCAGCCTAGGGTGGAGCCAACAGTGGCTGACTCCCACTTCAGTGACCTTCCCACCTGTTAGGAGGAGGTAGGCAGCCCCCAGCCCTCTAAGAGCTAAAGCTCCACTGACCCGGTCTCCTGGTCCTGGAGCAAAGTGGCAGCTCACCTGTGCATGGCCCACAGGTACGTGGGGAGAAGGGGAAGGAAGAGGAGGTGGGGACAGCCATGGGGAGGGACAGCTAGGTGCCCCACTGAGGCCCAGTGCCCCCTCCTGCTCTGCCTGGATTCTGTGTGACCCTGGGATGTGGAATGACTCCTCTGGGTGTCCCCATGGGGTGGCAATGTCCAACTTCAAGGACCAGAGGTCATGATGCGGGAGTTGGGGGGAGGAGAGAAGCTGGCAAGCAGAGGCAGCCCCGGGGTCTGGTGGTATCCATGGGGGTCTGTGTGTCTTCAGGAAAGTCACCCATGGGCCTTGTGTCCTGCTGATGAGCCTCGTCTTGCTGTGTAAATATTTGATTAGATTTTTGAGAAATGAAGCCCGTGTTTGGAAGACAGCACCAGACACATGCCGCTCCCTCTCCTGTCTGCCGGCAGGACTCCGAATGGCTCCCAGGCTGCTGTGGCCTTTCTGAGCCTCCCCCAGACTCACCTCTCCTACCCCCTCAGCTGTGTGGCTCTGAGCATCCTCGGACTGTGCTTCTGAAACTGCAGAGCCAGGCTCGTCAAGGTGTTGCTGGTACAGTCCCTTAGAGAAGGGGTATTGTTGCCCTTTTTATCCTGTGATCCAGGATGCATGACTGAGGGGTCCATTTAAGTTAAAAAATCAATTTCAGTGAAACGTCCCTCTTCTACTTCCATATTCTCTGAGGTTCCCTATCCTGTCTCCCTTTAACAATTCCCTTGCCAGCCATCAAAATGCAACTTGAAAAACCCTGCCGTCGACGAAGCCTTACGCCCAGGCGTTGTGATTGGCTCGTCCATGGGGACCGTGTGATGGTGGTGATGGTGGTGGTGGTGGTGGTAGTAATAATGGTGACTATATGGAGGGGAATTGGTGGTGGTGGTGGTGAAGTGAGAAAGCACTGAGTTCTCACTGTGAACTGGCTCTTGTTTAGCTCTTTATAGGACTTGCTGATTTAACCTCCTCACTGCCACACAGCAGCAGACAGGGCCATCCCCATTTCACAGAGGGGAAATCAAGGCACCGAGCTCCTGAGGCTCAAGGCTCTCCCTAATGTGCCCCTCTTCTCTCCTAGGCAGCCCTGGTTCTATGGCTGGGGATTTAACCTCCCTCGAGGCCAAGCCCTGCTGGAGAAATGGAACCTTATCCCTGAAGGCGTTGATGTCCTGATAACGCATGGACCACCACTGGGTGAGACCTGCTGTCCCTAGCCTGCCTATGCTGGCTGGGCTAAGGGCTTTGAGGATGGGTCGGGAGAAGGGGCATGTCTGGGACTGTGAACTGAGGTCACCTGGCATGTCCAGAGGAGCCCTGGATTGGCTTACTGAGTCTGACTTGCTGGGGGACTGGGGATCCTGTTGTCACCTACCCTGTGTGCCCAGAGCTGTGGACTCTGTCTCCCAGCATTGCTGTGCCCCCACCCTGGTCTGAATTGTGGTCACCTGTTACCTTGTAGGACCCCACTGCCCACTGGCTTACTGTCTGAGACCCCACAGCCTTCCCACCAGCTTGTCCCTTTCTTTGGCTTTCCCTCTAACCCATCTTCCAGCTCCTCCCTCTTGCCGCTGCTGCTGTTGGCCCTCCTCCATCCAGGCCAGTATCACCTCTGGACCACAGTGGTTTCCTCATTGTGCCCCAACCCTGAGACCTGTTCCTTACTGTCCAGTCTGTAGGAGGGAGTGCCTGCCTAATCTGTTACCTCTGTGACCCTGTGACTTCCTTGGTCTTTAGAATGAAGTTTAAAGTCCTGGCCCTGTCACTCAGAGCAGTCTTCCACTCCTACGATGGCTTCCACTGGCCCTTCTCATGCTAGTTCAGCTGTGCTGGGGGATGCTGGGCCTGGAATTATCATAACCACCATGCCATGCTTGCCCGGAGAGGCTGGCCAGCTGCAGGGTACAGAGTTCAGTCATGGCCAAGCCCAGAGGGAAGGATTCAGGGTTAAGGGAGGCTGGGGAGGTAGAGGAAGCCTTATGTAGTTAGGGGAGGCCTGGGAAGCTTCCAGAAGAAGTGGCATTATGATCAGATCTGGGTCCAGGGGAAGTAAGGTTGGGGAGGGCAGACAAGGCAGGGCCCCTTGAATATGATGGTCCTCTGTAGGGCGGGGCCCCACATGGTCTGGAACCCCTGCTCACATACCTCAGAAATATTCTGTGCCCCACCCAGTCCACATACTGAGCACCTGTTCTGACCACAGAGTTGCCCCAAGTGAGGCTCTTTATCCCACTGTTGATGGAGGAACCCTGAGGCTTAGACCTCTGCTGGGGCAGCACAAGATATGGACCAGGTTTCTTCCCACTGGACCAAGTCCTTCAGCAGTCAGCAGCATCTGAGCTGTGTTTGGCTCTAGGGATCGCTTTCTCTTCATCCTCCTGATGCCTAGGCTCCTCCCTTCCTTTCCAAACTTCCTCCCTTTTCTTTTCTCATCCTCTTCCCCTTCAGGTTTCTTCTAGTTTTCACTCCCCGTCCATGCCTCCTTCTGATCTGTCTATCTACTTACCTGTCCTCTGTCCATCCATCCCCTACCCTCTATCCATCCAGCATTCATCAATCCATCCTCCATCCATCATTTGTCTATTATACATCCTCCATCCTCCCTCCATCTAGCATCCATCCATCCTCCATCCATCCATCATCTATCCACCCATCCTTCATCTACCATCCATCCATCCTATTTATTCTTCTTCCATTGTCCATCCGTCATATTCTGTTCACTATCCATTCATCTATCCTTCATCTGTCCATTGATTAGCCATTGATTCATTCATACATACCTGTTTATCCATCTACCCACCTTCCATTTATCCATCCATCCATCCATCATCCATCCATCCATCCATCATCCATCCATCCATCCATCCACATCCTCTTCTTCATCTGTTTCCTAGGAGTCACATCGTCTGGCTTCGTGCTCTCTACATGCCCCACCCAGTCACAGTGGACACACCACGAACCTGTTTTGAGAGTGCCTATGTGTGCCAGGTGTGCCGGTGGATGTGGATGTGCTTCCTCTTCAAACGGCGTAGGCACCAGGGCAGCTGGGGTGTAGGGACCTGCGAACCTGGCCCCTCTCAGCACACACTGCTGTGTAAGGATAGGTCTTTGTGATTCTAGTTTCCATAGCAGTACTTCTAATAGTTGGATGAAACGGAAACAGAAACAAGGTCCCAGGAGCAGCAGAGCCTGAGACCTAACCTCACCATGTACCCAAAGCCACCTCCTCCCCCTCTTCCCATCTCCCTTCTCTCCTTCTCCCCTCTCTTGCTGTGTCTCTGCTCCTCCTATAGTGAAGCCTGCCTGGTGCTTTGAGTCAAGGCTCCCTTGACCCCTGGTTGGCAGCTGCAGAGCCTGTGTCACCCACCCAAACATAGAGGGGCTGACAGGAACCTGATTGCTCAGGCGAGTCATCCAGTGCTCTTCATTGTGTGACCATGTGAGGATAATAAGCTGTCGCCACATGGGATGGCTCCAGGAGGCTGGTGACCAGCAGACACGGCGGGCACCGTGTGAACATCAGCAGCCAGAGAGCTCACTGCCATGCTTCTGTGGGTCTCTCTTTCTCTCCCTCCCTCCCTTCCCCCACTCCGTGTCTCTCTCTCCTCTCTCAACAGGGTCTTATGTATCCCTGGCTGGCCTCAAACTTGCTGTGTAACCAAGGATGACCTTTACCTCCTGATCCTCCGGCCTTCACCTTCCAAAGGCTGGGATTACAGGTGTAAGCCATCCTGTCTGGTTTATACCGTGCTAGGGATCAAACCCAGGGCTTCATGCATGATAGGCAAACCACCAAACGAGCCTCACCCCAGCTTCTCTGGCATTCTGTGGAGAAAACTTCTAAAATGAAAATCTCACTCCCAGGCTCCACTCTGCCACTGGAGTGCTGGGGGCTCCGTTGCTTTTCTATGCAATAGTTGGATGTCACCCTGGGTTGGATGTCACCCTGGGGACCACTGGAGCAGGCATGAGTCAAGGGCTCTAGTGGCTTAAGGTGCCTGACACACTCTTGGCTCTTGTGAAGAGCCTCTTAGCACAGCCCTGCCAAGGAAGGGAGGCTGGGTTTCCTCCCTGAGGCAGAGGTGAGGCAGGGCTCTGGAATTTGTTGTACCAGGAGACAGAGCTAATGCTGAAGGAGATAGACAGGCCTGAAACATAGAATTCCAGGTCCCACCCAGTCTGCATGGTCTGTTTCCTAGGATACAAGGAGCCCCCACCCCTCACAGCCCCCACTGTCTTCCTTTACAGGCTTCCTGGATTGGGTCCCTAAGAAGATGCAGCGTGTGGGCTGTGTGGAGCTGCTTAACACAGTCCAGAGGCGAGTTCAGCCGCGGCTGCATGTCTTTGGCCACATCCACGAAGGTCAGTGGGTGGGAGGGGAGGGATCCTCACGTGCTAGGGCTTCAGAGGGGCTCCTTGCCTTCCTTCCTCCCTGATCGCCAGCTCTCTCCCTGACTTCTTCAGCCAGATAGGGAAGAGCCCACTTCTGTCGTGTTGCAGAAGGCTCACGCGCTTGCTGCCACCCAGTTAGTGAGGACGGAAACGCTGAAGGGCAGGTGAACTCAGGCTCTGCCAGTTGAGGAGTTCTGTCCTCAGAACCCCCTGATTGTCTTGCCTCTAGTCTGGGGAGTTGTTGGAGGAGGGACATTTCAATTGTGACCTGGAGTGGGCGCACTGTGAATAAATGTGACTCAATCTCCCTGCCTGAGAAGCCCCAGTGGTGTAGACACCCCACTTCTATCATGTGTCCCCATCACAATGTGGAGATGTGTGGTGTCCTGCTTCTGTCCTAGGGGTTGGAGCCAGGCTGCTGGAGTGGCCAGGATGTTCACACTGTGGGCAGGATGACTCACAATCCTGACCATCCACATTGCCACACACACCTGTCTGTGTACCCACCAGTGTTCATGCAGGGCCATCGTATATAAAGTTGCCTGTGACCCAGACCACACCCCTACATAATTGTATAGGCAAACAGAGCTCCAAAGCAGAGAGGGAGTGTCCCTTCGGCTGTGGAGACAGTCTGAGCCGGGGGACAGGATTCTAACAAGCAGAGGTGAGCGAGAATGATGGGGAAGACAGGAATGGGACAGCGATAAAGGTGCTGATTCTGATGACAATGGAGATAGTGACGACAGCGGTGATGAAGATGCTGCTGATGCTGATGATAGTGATGATGGTGGTTGTATAATGGTGACATGGGACATGACAGGAGGATGCCGGTAACGAGGGTGTGGTGATGGTGTGCTAAGGATGTGCCGATGGTCATGGTGGTGGTGGTAGTACTGATAGTGAGGGTGATGACGACTGTGTTGATGGTGATGCTGATGATGGTGTTGATGATCATGGCGGTGGTGGTAATGTTGATAGTGATGGTGATGATGATGACGTGGATAAGGATGAGGATTGGTGAGGGGGATGGTCATGATGCTGATGGTGTCATGATGAAGATGGCAATGAGGAGGAGGATGTTGACAATGTCATGGTGATGAGAATGATGGCAGCGATGGAGATGGTGACAAGGAGGGCAAGGATGCTGATGATGTCATGGGGTTGGGTGATGTTATGTCATGGTGATAATGGCATTAGTGGGATGGTGACGGTGGCAGTGATGATGATATGGTGATGCTGGTGATGGCCGTGAAGATCATGCATGAGACTGTCATGCTGAAAGTGATGGTGGCAGTGATGGGGACAGTGTTGCTGATGATAATGATGTGATGATGCTGGTGATGATGATGATGGTGATCATGGGATGATGATGTCATGGTGATGGCAGCGATGCTGATGATGGTCAAGGGGACGGTACTAAGAAGGTGGTAATGGTGGTGGAGGTCACAGGGATCACTATGACAGTGGGGGTTATGGGAATTATGACATCATGGTGATAATGGCAGTGATGCTGCTCTGGTGATGTTGATAATGATCATGGAGACCATGCTGCTGCTGTCATGGAGATGATGCTGATAATGATGATGTCATGTTGATGACGGCAGGGATGCTGGTCATGGTCATGTGGACCGTGCTGATGATGTCACAGTGATGATGTTGATACTAATGGTTTCATGGTGATGATGGCAGGGATGCTGGTCATGGTCATGGTGATGCTGTTGATACTAATGATGTCATGGTGATGATGTTGATGCTTAAGAAAAAGCTAACATGGATGAGGACGATATTGATGATGATGACTTCCTATGTATTTTCTGTGTACCAGACACTGGCCTGAAGACACTGTGCAAAGACCACCTTATGTGGTCCTCCAAACAGGTGCAGAAACACCTGTCATTACCACTTCCATTTGACAAATGAAAAGACTGGGTTTGGAAGCTGCAGTAGTTTGCCTCAGACACATCCTGCTCATTGTGGCTGAGCACCGGTAGCTGCCAGACAGCTTCAGGTCCTGGTCTGATGGGGACATGTTTACTTCCCAGGGTATGGCGTCATGGCGGACGGGACCACCACCTACGTGAATGCGTCTGTGTGCACTGTGAACTACCAGCCTGTGAACCCACCCATAGTCATTGACCTCCCCACACCCCGGAACTCCTGACTGCTCCCAACCCCAGCTCTGCCTGCCTGTGTGAGCTCTGTATGTCTGGCCAAGAGCCCGGATCCCCCACCCCACTTTCTTCCATGTGGAACAGCCCAGGCAGTCTGTCTGGCCACAGGACCAGCCAGCGGCGCATGGAGTCCTTGGGATAAAGAAAATCCCCTTTGACTGTCAGCCCTGTGCTGCCTGCAGCAGGGGCCTTAGGCCCTTAGTAGGGCCACACTCACCTCTTCCTACATGTACATCCGTCCTTCGTTCAAGGGCCTGACAGGCTCACAGCCCCATCTTGTTTGGGAAATGACAGGAGTGTCACACTGCTCAGTTGGACACCCTTCTGCTTTGAGAAGCCACTGCTCTTGTATACATTTTGGGATATGTTACAAAAACGTCCCTCCGTCTGAGAGTGAGTACAGCTGTGCCCAGAGTTGGAGCGCATGGCCTGGGCGCAAACAGCTTTTCTTCTCCAGTGGGAGGAGGAAGAGACAGACCTGCTCGTGGAGGAAGCCCTGAGGGAGTGTTCAGGGACATCTCAGGAATTCCAACTGTCTCTGGCCAGGCCCACAGCAGTGGGCTTGGCACAGTTCCCCTTTCTTCCTTAATCCCTGACATGAACACTGACTGGTCGTCCCAGGCTTCTGCTCGGAGCCTGGATTTGGGGGGCTGGTTCTTTAAGATGTCCTATCTGAGTGGCTGGCACTCGTTGGCGAGGTCCTCTGCACAGTGAGGCAGTCTTGGGTCCCCTGTGGACCCCATTGCTCTACAGATCACAACGGTTAAGAAGGTGTGTAGGTTGAGGTCCAGTGCCCATCACGTGTGCCCTGTGTGTGTGGCATGTGCACACCCCCATTTCTGACCCTAACACGATTCTTATTAATGCTCCACAGTGGGTTCTGACCTTCGATGCAGTTTCCCATTCGGAGTCATTGTGTTTGCTGAGCAGGAGCCCAGGACCCCTGAAGGGCTCAGTCTTCACCACACCACCGGCTACTGGGAGGTGGCACAGCGACAGTGGGCTGAGCTCCAGCTGCTCCACCTTGGGCTGCCGCCTTTCTTCCTAGGGATAGGCCTAGGGGAGCCTGTTCCCCAGAGGGCAGAGCCAGCAGGGCCTGGGCCATGGGGAGGGAGGGTCCGAGGCTTTCCTTGTTTAAAATACTATTTGTTCGTTGTGGACTATTTTCACACTCATTTTGATTCTCGGTAATTCATCATTAAAATAGTGTCCTTTGTCCTGATTCACGGTGTTCTACAACCCTTGTCATGTCATGAGCCTAACTGGGCCTCACTTCCTCAGTCTGGCCCCAGCCTTGGGAACCAGATCTCCTGACACCTTTATGCAGATATAAGGTTGCTTCATCCACAGACAGTCCCGCAAGGTCCTGTTGCCTCATTATAGAGATGAGGACACTGAGGCCAGAGAGGTGAGGCCACTTGCCTGAGGATGCACAGCACAAACAGCCCTTGATTATTGCCCTCACAGTCCTCACAGACCTTGATTATCGCCCTCACAAGTTCTCTCCCTAAAGAGAAGGCTCCTGCTTAATTTTGAAGAGTCCCATTCAAAACTGGCTTCGGTTCATTCTCGATCAAGAGTCCTTTGGATCCTGAGGAATCTTGAGCTCTGAGTGCAGCATCCCAGCAAGCTCAGTTCCTGATTCCTTCCCAGAACTGAATGAGCTGGGTTCATCTGGCTAACTGCAGGTCAGGCTATGTTCCTAGGAGCCCTGCAGTGCCCCATATTGACCAGGACAGGTCACCGGGCTACAGGAATCCTGCTTGGGCCAAATGATTCCTGGTGGCTGGGGACATGTCCAACGTCTCCCTCTGGTGCCTCAGATGCGAGACGTGTTTGGGGCAGAGAAAACATACCTCCCACGTACTGTCTTGGCCCCTCAGTTTCTATATGGACCAAGAACTATAAACTTAAAAATAATGTTTTTCCTAAGGTATCTTCAGAATATGGTGTATTTTTATGTGGGAAAGAAAAACTATGAAGACAGCTGTTGCTTTAAGAGAAAATTCATTAAAAGTCCTGGAGGTTTGAAAGATGACGGTGTGCTCCTCAATCATTTCAGCATAACTTGATTGTGGCTGTAATTTTTTTTTTTTGTCAAGCATGTTAGACAATAAAGTCTTTGTAAAAAGAAAAAGCCGGTCCACCAAGCTGCTTTCTGTGGTGTCCCTGGGTGTCACATGGGGCAGAGGCAGGAGGAACCCCATGTCCTGGGCAGAATTTGGAGTCTAAAGACCTTGTGTGCATTGGCAACTACACCTCCCTTCCTTGCCTCAGCCTCCTTTGGGTGCAGGGGCCACAGAGGTGGTGATATGGGTAGGACTGTGTTTGACTCCCAAAGCAGGACACCTTGATGTGGCCTGGGTGCTGGCTTGTCTTGTCAGGAGCCCTTGGCAGAGAAAAGGTCCAGGTGGTGCCTAAGAAAGGCACCCCAGCTCAAAGTCCCTTCAAGCTCCACAAATTCTGTCATTTGTACCCATCCGTCTGTCCAGCTGTTCCTCTTTCTACTTAGCCAGTCACTCACCCCTTGGCCTATACTTTCATACATCATCTGTTCACTCATGCAACAAGCTATTCATCCCCCTATCTACAAAATTATCCATCCATCCCATCCATCTACCCACCAAACCATCCACTCACCTCCCTCCAGAGATCCCTCCATCTTCCATCCATCCATCCATCCATCCATCCATCCATGTACCCACCCCCCACACCCATAAACCATCCACCCATCTATTTACTCACCAAACCATCCATCTATCCACCTCTCTCAGGATATCCCTTTATCTATCCATCGAAACTTTCATTCATCGCCATTCATCTGCTCACCAAAGAATCCACCTACCCACCCACCCATCAAGTTATGCATCCATCCATCCATCCATCCATCCTCCCTCCATCCATCCTTCCATCAATTCATCCTTCTATACATTTATCTTCCATCCTTTCATCCATCCATCTTCTACCCTTCCATCCATCGATCCTTCAGCCTTCCATCCATACATCCAACTTCCATCCATACATCCATCTTCCATCCTTCCATCCATCCTTCCATCCATCCATCTTCCATCCATCCTACACACATGCCCATCATCCTATCCATCTATCCATGCACAGACCAAGCATTTGCTGAGTGCTTCCTGAGAGCCTGGCTTGGAACAGGGAGATGCTGATGGTGATGGTTAACAGATTTAGGAGCAAAGATTGGTGAAGGTGGGTGTGTGGACAAGGGCCACAGAGAACCAAGGAAGGCAGTGGATGTTGGCTGCCAGTCACAGAGGAGAGCATGAGAGCAAGAAGAACAGGCTTTAAGGAAGGACACAGTTATTTGGGTCTCCTGAGCTGGAAGTTCCCTGGAAGTGTGAGAGGAGTGTCCAGTGGTCCAGGTGCCTCTATGACGACAACTGGAGTGATAGTGAGGGCACATGTCAGTGGGAGGAGAGGCCTAGAGGTGCGGTCTGGGGCAGACATGTCATACCAAGCAGAAAATCAGCCTTTTTAAGAACTCATTCCAGGGAGGCAGGGAGGGTTGGCCTGAGCCAAGTTCTAGAGCCCCCAGCACATACTCCACTGCCCCATCAGCTGTCACTGTCAAAATATAAATTCGAGGATAAGATTCGAGAACATACAAAGCACACGCTGCCCTGGTCCTCCCGAGTCCCTCTGAAGGGCCCTGCCCTTCAGTCCCTGTAGGGAGGGGCCTCAAGCTGCTAAGCTTTCTCCTGCTCCCTGGAGCTCCCGGAGGGCTCTGGCTGTGCACAGGCCTCCAGTCCACTGTGCTGCCTACATTAATGTTCAAAGACATGCACACATCTTAAGTACTAGTGATAAAAACTGGCGGCATTTCCTTGGTCTGCCTGTCTTCACCTACTGGGACACACACTGTGGCTTAGAAAATTTTATTAGTGCACATTGATTATGAAAAGTGATGGGTCTCCTCACATTTCATCGTGCTTTCTGACAGTAGGCACACCCTGTTACTGTCTCGTGTGCCCCTTCTCCCGTCCACTGCTCCCTCCAAGTCTGGTTTATCTGCTTAACATGATGGTCCCCAGCTCCATCCACTTCCCTATAGATGATGGAACTCCATTTTTCTCTGTATCTGCACCACATTTTGTCTATTCATCTGTGGGGGGACAGCAGGTCAGATCCACTGCCTGACTGTGCAACAGTTAACAGGACACACAGGTCTCTGTGGTGTGTGACGGGGAATCCTTTGCTGTATACCCAGCAGTGGTAGAGCTGGCTCAGATGGTGTTTCTATTTTTAGTTTAGGTTTTTAAAAAATTTTATTTTTATTTTATGTGTATGTGTGTATTGCCTGCATGTAGGTAAGTGCACCAGTGTCGTGCAATGACACAGAGGTCAGAAGGTGGCTTCAGATTCCCCTGGAACTGGAGTTAAGGATGGTCGTAGCTGCCATGTGGGTGCTGGGAATTGAACCTGGGTCTTCTGCAAGAGCGGTCAGTGCTGTTAACTGCTGAGCCATCTCTCCGGCCCCAAGTTTTAGTTTTCTGAGGAAGTGCCGCACTGACCTTAGGGTACGTCAGTTTGCACTGCCACCAGCAGTGGACAAGGGCTCCTCCCCACATCCTCACCAGCATTTGTTGTTCATTTTTTTTATGGTTCCATTTTGATCTCTGTGGACGTATTTTACTTTTTATAGACTTTTAAAAACTACTCTCGTGTGTGTGTGTGCATGTGAGAAAGTCAGGACAGGGGTCATTTTTTTCTGCCACGTAGGTCTTGGGGATCAAACTCGGGTCATCAGGCTTGGCCACAAGCACCTATACCTGCTGAGCTGCCTCACCAGCCCATGGATAGTTTTTTGGTGGTTGCTTGACAGCTTACAGGTACGTTTGAAAACACACATCTTTATATGCCATGCCACAAGTGTGTCAGAACATGATGCATGGCTTCAAATTCTGGAAACAGCCCTTTTAAGAGTATTTAGGACAAACCATCTTCTTTTAACTTTTATCTTATTTCTGACACCCATTTCTTTGCTAGATCTGGATTTCTGACTCACTTGTTTTCAGGATATTAGAACCTCCTTTAACACTTAGAAAAACAAAGTCTATTTTTTTCTGTTGAGACAGGTCTCTCTCTGTAGCCTAGGCTGGCTTTGAGTTCATGATCCCCTATCTCCACCTCCTGAGCGCTGGGATTACAGGTGTGCATGGCCATGCCCGCCCCAGCCTCCTTTAGCATGCCTTTTGTTTTCTGGGATACAGTACATGTATGTGTATGTGTATGCAAAAAGGCCAGAGGTCAAGGTTGTATCTCCCTCTGCTGCCCAACATCTTCTTGAGTCAGTCTTCCACTGAGATTGCAGCTCAGGGCTCCAGGTTCCCGTCCATCACTGAAGGGAAGTGCTAAGAGGAGCTTGAGCTTCTCACAGCACTTCCACAGTTAACAGCACAGAGGAACCAATGTGCCCCCCTCCCCAGCTTAGGACCCTGCCTGGAGAATGGTGATGCCTGCAGTGGGCTGGGTCTTCCTACATCTATTAAGACAACCCTCCCATCCCCAGACATGCCTGCAGGTCAGCCTGATGCACACAATCCCTCATGAGACTCTGGGTGAACTGAGTTGTGTCAAGTTGACACAAAGCTAACTGGGGAGAGAAGGAAAGGAGGAGGAAGGGACTGGAGTCTCATTACCCTGTCCATGGACACACCACCAATGATACAGACACCATGAAGCCCTACCTCTTAAAAGGTTCACCACCTCCTAGGAGCACCACAGGTGACAGACAACAGGCTTTTGGGGAGCCTGGAATCCAGGTGTCAAGACGCAGCCTTTGGCCTTGTCCCCACTGGCCTGGGAACCACTCATTGCCCAGGCTGAATCCATAGTCCTGTCCATTAACTCCATCCTTTTGCTGGCACCTATCTGGTGGGATGTGAATGGCAACCAAGGTGACAGCATTCAGGAAGGTCTGTGCCTGAGTCTGGCACATGTTGAAATTGACCCTGTCAGGCTGGAGAGATGGCTCAGTGGTTAAGAGCACTGACTGCTCTTGCAGAGGACCCGGGTTAGAATTACAGCACCCACATGGAGGTTAATAACGTCCATAACTCCAGTTCCAGGGGGTCTGATGCCCTCTTCTGACCTCCATGGGCTTTACATGATATGGGGGCATCACATACATGCAGGCAATGTACTCATACACATAAAAATGTTTAAATTGGCCCTGCCTCATCCCAAATGCCACACTGGCATCCCCCATCCTTGCCTGGGCCCCAGCAGGCTGGCCCACAAGGCTCTTCCTTCTCCCATGAACATCTGCTGCCCACAGTGGTGATGGTGTGGTCCCCGTCCATGCCCGAGGGCAGTGAGCAAGCAGAGGTTACATAGTAGTGTGGCCTGGGTCCTATCACCCAGGCAGAGGCTGGCCAGCCAGGCCAACAGAGGAAGTGCTCAGGTAGACAGCCAGCGCTACCCCTCAGTGGAGGCTTCACTGCAAGCAGGACAGCAGCTTTCCTCCACCCCTCAGCCACCCTGAGCTTGTCTCTTGTGGCTTTAGAAGGGCCCATCCAAGGCCGTGGTGATGTCCCAGCTGCCCATGGGCTGGGCCTCAGGAAAGCTGACCGTCACTGACTGGCCTTGACATGGACCTGTTCTGTGGGGAAGAGGATGATTCTCTGGGCAGGGGCAGGGACAGGGACATGGCCAAGGGTTTGGCCATCCTTTGGTCCAGGGCAGGGAGCAGGTGTGCAGAGGAGGTCTGGCCCTTGAGTACTGGGGGTATTGAGGGGTATCCTGAGGGCAGTCATGAAAAACCCCCAGGAATCCCAACATTTGTGAACATTTTATTACTAGCAGTTCCTTTAAAGTCCTGAGTCATTCATGCAAAGTCTTATTTGTTCAAACCAATGAGAGTGAGGATGCCAAGACCAGCGGCTGCCCTGTGACCACCCAGAGAGGCCGGGATGTGGGATGCAGGCCAGAGCCTGCCCATCCCAGAGCCAGAGTCTGGGTGGGGGTTTGTTCTGGAGACACTTTAGGGATTTCACTAAAGCCCTCAGTTGTCTGGTTTTACTAGTCTTGGGGACAGACTCAGAGGCCCACCTGTCCCAACATAGCTCCACAGGAGTGCCTACTGCAGGAAGGCCCGTAGAAAGTCGTTGTAGGAGATCTTGGAAGACAGAGACTTGTCATAGTACTCCAGCACATGGAAAAACTCCTCCTCTGACAGGTTGATGCTATACTGCCGTAGCACCTAGGAATCAGGAAGCCCATTAACGGGTGCAGGGGGCCACAGAGGAGCCTGGCAGAGGCTTCTAGTCACCCACCCACCATTGCGGCTTCTGTCCTCCTCAGCGGCAGGTCCTGAGTTCTTTCTAGAACACCATCTTTAAAGGAACAGGGCATGCCTTCTTCTCCCTCTGAAGTCTGGAATAGGGTTATGATGCTGGGACTCCAGCAGCCACCTTGGACCATGAGGTGGTCTTGGGGAAGGAAATCAGGTGTTGAGGACAGTAGAGCCAAAAATGTCTCCCTGACTGCGTGACCACTGTGCCAGCTGGGGACATCCCACCTCTAGACTACATGGAAGAAACACACTCCCCCTTGAGCTGATGTGACCTTGTTCCCTGTCCCAGCAGAAACAAACCCTACTTGATACCCTAGTAGTAAATGGAGACCAGGCTGTGTTAGAGTTCATTTCTAAGGGGAGACTAGAATGTGGGCTAGGAGACCCCAGGGCCCGTGGGACTAAGAGGACATCAGTCTGGCTGTTGGGCCCAGTACAGAAGAGCAAAGTGGATCCAGTCACACCCATGTGGTCCTTACCTCTGGCTCTGCTCTAGACAGCAACCCCCTCTTACCGTCCCCCCTGCCTGCCTGCCACACTCTGAGTCCCTGGGAAGGAGAGGGAAGAGGGCTGGACCTTCTTTCTCATCCTTGCTGGACTAAGGGAGACTCCCTGGCTGGGACAGTGCCTGGCCCCAGGGGACAGGGGAAGCCAGTACAGGGTACCGGTTAGGCTGTGGGTGGAGTGCCAAGAGGTGGCAGACCCAGAGGTGTCTGGCATTTAGGGTTAGCCAATGCTAAATGGCATTGGCCTACTGTGCACTGTGGTGTAGAGTGGGGCTCCCTATGTGGGCAGTCTGCATCACATACCCTGTTAGGCTGTTGGGAGGTCCTGATGGGACATAGGCCTGAGCATGGGCCTGGGAGCAATGACAGTGTGGTCTTGAAGGAAGCCAAGGTTCTGGGAGGGGGGCAGGCTGTGGATGTTCTGCAAATGGTTAGGGAGGAGAAGCTGGGGTGTGCAGATGAGGGGTGGGCTGGCCAGGGCCTGGGGTGTGAAGGTGATGGGTGGGCTGGCCGGGGCCTGGGGTATACAGGCCAGGGTCTGGGGTGTGCAGGTGAGGGGTGGGCTGACTGGGGCCTGGGGTGTGCAGGTGAGGGGTGGGCTGACTGGGGCCTGGGGCGTGCAGGGGAGGGGG